TCATTTGTCGAGTAAAAGTATCCGTGACACGAGTGTGAAGTATTCTATTGTTTACACTTGAGAAATCAAATTCAACATTTGGATGACGTAAGATTTTTTCAAGCTATTTCTCCACTCGTAGTAACACCGAGTATATTATTTTTGAAAACTTGTTTTTTTTTATGTGTTATCTTTATCAACTAAAGTCTATGATCATGGAAAATTCGCCTTTAATAGTTTTAAATTTTTCCAGCAATATTTATGAATGATTCTGCAGGATGTGAATTTCCGTACAGTTATTGGTTACACGAAAAGTAGGTTCGATGTTTACCTCAAAAAAGCCGCTTGAGCATTGTTTGCTTATTTAATGAAAAAATGACTTCCTGGTTGGTGTAAATTATAATATTATGATGCCTAATAAGGATGGTAAAAATATCATTGAAATGGCAAAAGATAATGCAAGCTGTAGAACTGATAAAAAAAGATCAATGTTTCATTTGTGTTAGCGGTATGCAATCCAAGTCGAATTTAAAATGATTTCGATAAATAAATAGCGGTACCATTATTTCTACTCTCGACACTTATTATTGACATTTCGAGTAAATTATTTTAAGATTTACTTTATATTCATCAAGCTAATTCATGTTCTCTCCTGAACGGTGCAAAAAAAATCCATTTTGGTAGTTGTTTGCACAGTCGTTGACAGTAATAGCATAAACATTTGTGTTGCCGATGGAAACACAAAAGAAGATGACCAGTTAAATTTAAAATGAGATTGAAGTAAGTTGAATTTAATAGAAGAAACTATTACTGTTAATGAAACTACGCCTTCAAATGGGGAGATGTAAAATTCCATAAAATGTTTTACATAATCTTTCTTAAATTTCAAACATAACCTTTCTCGAGAAATATTCACAAGTGGCTACTATTTAATAGTGGAACATTACGGTAAATTAATACCTGATCCTAGTATGTTAAATGGATTAAATAATTGACGGAAATAAATCATAAATTCTGTTAACTTTTGTTATGTGCCTTGAGTAAGCTAAAATTAACAAAATTCTTGTAAACTTATAATTAGTTAGAATCAGAATTTCTATAATGCACAATTTCTTGAAGTAAATATTCAAATAGCCGAATAATTTCCGATCTCTCTTTTATGATCTCGGTATGGTATAAGCGAATTATTATCGATCAAACTGAATTCTTTGTGCTGTAAGGGAGAGGAAGTGTAAAGTGAACTTTTTTCACATTAAATCTCATTTTTTAATTGCATTTATCGCTCTTTAATTCCGAAAAATATCAAATTAATTTCACGAAGAGGTTTGTAAGGAACCATTCATTGGGGTGGCGTTTTGCATACTGACCGAGTAATATTTAACGGAGTTTGTCGCGTTATTATTATTTACTCCGTTGGAGATTGTCGAGGGTTTTACCGGGAGTTAGTAAGGTGGTTAGGGTTGAAAGGATGTTAATCAAAGTGAAGACATTGACTGGAAAGGAAATCGAACTCGACATTGAGCCTAATGACAAGGTGGAAAGAATCAAGGAAAAGGTTTCTCTCTTTTAAACTTTTTTTAAAAAATTAATACCAGTCAGTTCTAACTGGTTTATTGTTTTCCATTTCATTTTATTGTGATTTATTATTGTCCAGTGTTTTCTTTCTCTTTTTATTGAATAGTGATGAAGCGTGGTTAGACATATTTCCAAACAAACTGATTAAAACACTGCTTGTAGACAAAGTGAAGATATTCGTTTCTTGAAGGTAATATTTGAGTTGCTTGGTAAAATTTGCAGGTAGAAGAAAAAGAAGGCATACCTCCACCACAACAGCGTTTGATTTTTGCTGGAAAGCAAATGAATGATGAGAAAACAGCACAAGATTACAAAGTAAATTTTTGGAAGCTTTAATAAACACAAACTCACATCATATTCATGGTTATTGCAGGAGCATGATCTCCACGGGTTACTTTTTATTTTAAGCCAAATTGTGGCTTATTAAATATGCTTGAAGTTTAATAAATTTCTTTCTTTTTTAAGTCTTTACTTAATTTTATAAAATTAGAAGACTTTTTCTCTATCACTTGCCTTTGTCTTACCCAGAATTCAGAGTTTTGAATCGAACGTATGTAATTGTTACATTTGCTACAGAAAGGAAGTTAAAACAATTTTCCGTTTGAGTTCGTAGAAAGTGCTAATAAAGTAATAAGATATTCAAATTTACTCAGACGTCACAAGGCTTTTTTCAAAAAATTTGAAAATTATTCTAACGCGAGTTTTCTGACGTCATTTAACTTTATGCAGAAAAATAAAGAGTTCTTTACATTTATGGAATAGAACACTTTTTTAAAAGTTTTCGATTTTTGATCTTTTTGCCACTGAATAATAAGTACATTTTATTAAAATTTTTTGCACAGTAGTAAGTTTCGTTGTAGGTTGCTGGCGGATCAGTTCTTCACTTGGTGCTTGCATTGCGTGGTGGCGTTTAATATGTGTTTATCAAAGGAATGTAATGAAATTGTAGCGCAAAAGCTCCACGCTTGTGTTCACTTTGTATAATATTTCTTTGTTTGAAATTACGTGTACTGTCAAATTAAAAAATTGTGGCTGCACAGCGATTATGCATATCTTTGTGCTGTACATCTTTGTCTCACGTTTTTGCTTCATTCTGTCCTACTAGTATTTCTTTTAAGCTTTGTGATGTATTACACCATAATAAAAATTATTTTCATAAGTTGGTAGAAGATTGAAGGTGTGATTTATGATAGCAATTGCTGAAATAGCTTTTTAGTTCCGAAAAAAAAATGATTCGGCTCTTGCACATCTGCTCTTGCTATAGCTATTATGAGTCGGCATGATTTTTAGGTGGTTTTTTATAAAATACTAATGAATTTTTATAAAGTAGCACAGATCGAGCATGATACATACATAAGCAAGTTTAGTATTAATGAATTACAAAGATTTGCAGAAAGAGAAATAAAAATGGACTAATCTGATATAAATATATGCACTAAGCTGATTTGTCGTTCTCGAAGGAATGTTATGGAATGCACAAAAATTAGAGGCTCAGGAATCCAACTTTTTGACAGTATATCATAAGAAATGTTCAAATCTTGACTATCATCTAATTACAAATGTCTTAGTGCAGGAAATGGTTTTGCAATTACAGGCATTTATAGTTCAACTTGTTGTACTTCCTCGTGAACTTGATCCATTTTCTATAAGCCGCCGCTTCTGAAAATTCATTTTCTCGATAAACATCCGGAAGAGTTTCTGTCAATAAAAAAGGATTACTAATTGTTATGATTTAAGAATTCATTAGTAAAATCGGAGTTCTAAGAAATGATTTATATTTAGTAAAATCTGAAATATTGAGAACAACTTACGAATGGTCGTTCACCAGAATGCCATCGAAGGTGTGCTTTCAGATGAGAACTCTTGCTGTATACTTTACCACATCCCGGGACGTGACAATTATGGATTCCTCTCATTTTTGCCGGAATATTTGTGGTACCTGGTGAAGTTGGAGAGTTTAAAATCTGTTTGACAATTGAACTGAATATCATTGGTCTTTTTCAATCTTTCATAAAAATAAACATTGACAGTTATGGGTTTTTCGCACCTCATCTAATGTTAGTTGCAACTAAGTTAAACCTTCTGAGTTAAAAACGGTATATCTAAATGTAATAACTTTTCTTGATAATAATCAACCTTATAAATTCTTTTATAGTTTAATGGATTCCAATCCTTCATGCATTTTCAAATTTAGATCAAAAATTTTGATTGTTTACCGGATAAAACTACGGAAAGAATTGACCCTGTATGACTCTCACGCCCTATTACACAATCACCTAAGTTAGCTCGAGATTCTGATTGATGTCCTTTTCTGATCTTTATCTTTTTCTCCCGGAAGGATAGATTATGAAGATTTATGACACCATCTCTGATTTAACTATGGTTGTTTTCATTTTTGTTGAAGGTCAAGGCAAAATGCAAAAGAAAAAACGGATAGCAATTGTAAAATTTGCACTATCAAGTAATTATCAGTACATTATGCTCATTCCATCGTTTTAAATTTGAAGAAAAACTTTTTTTTGTTCAATTATAAAAAAGTACAAAGTGAGAATGAAATGACAAACAAATTACAAGTAACTTTTTTAAATTAATTAAACCATCATGAAATGGAACTAGAACTGTAATTTTCATCTTTTTAAAATTTATGAAAGATATAAGAAATCAGATATATTCTGAATTTAATTTCTTTTTTTAAAAAATTGAAATTGGAGAATACTGTGGCAGAAATGTATAAACTAAAAAGTAAAAATAGCCATTAGCATCTAAAGTTTGCATTCATCATGTTATTTTATAAGAGCCCTTTAAAACGAAATGCATAAATTCTTTAAACAATAAAACGGCGCATTTAATTATTTGTCATAGAAACCATTCTGAATCCATTAAAAAAAACCTTTTCACGCATGTTGTTTTAAAGCATTTGTCATAAAAAAAACTGAAAAAAAATGAGGCAACAAATCATACATTGTGGAGTGTGAAAAGTGTCAATTATATTTCGATTTTCCCTTAACCAATTCAAAAAAATCTCATTTGAATTTGCCGTTTTCAGGGCCATTCTATACTGTCTCTTTTCTTCATCATACGCTCTATTTCGGTAAGGTAATTTTAACATTCTGTCTGCGTATGCTTTTATTGCATAAATGAAATAATACTGAATGATATCAAAGAAAAAGTCCTTCAGATTAGTTTGAGTTGTTAAAATTGGCTAGTAATTTTTTTTGTCACCTGTTTACTGACAAGATGGAGTATGATAATTTGGGTATGAGCAAAAAACAAAATGTATATGATTTGTGGTGAAAATGACGAATTGAAATTGATGACGGATAATTCAATCCGGATAATATAATAAATGAATCGGCAAAATTTTGATGATATTCTACCAAATTCTTATTTTGAATAGTTTATGCAATTGAAATAAAACTACAGGGAATTTTTTAAAACCTGAACTTTGCACTTTATGATTTCATTCTGAGTAGGAGCATCTGCCAAAATATGTAATTGAACGCATCTACCAAAGTATGTAATTGACGAAATTGCGATGATTCTTTTTTCACAGACATTCAATTCCGCTGTTTTCATTTTGGTTGATTACGGTAGCGCCACTTATTTGAATAAAATCAGAGGCAGATATTATTCGCAATAGCGTTGTTGTAGTAATTCGACAAGAAAAATTTCGTTCAAAATTTATCAATTTCATAATTAGTTTCCGGATAAAACAATAATAGATGTTCTTACTAAAATACAGACTATTAATATTCAATTTCTCAAATCCTTATCAGCATTGTAGAAATTTCAAAGTTTATTTCGAAAGTATTTATACATTTTATATTTTTTTTGAACAAAATCGCAATTTAATTTTTCGATTTTGAAATGATTAGATTAGCTTAGCTTATAAGAGTGGTAGGAAAAGAAGAAGAGAAGAAAAAAAGAGAAGAAAAAAAGTTTTTTTACATAAGTAATTATTAAGAAACTTATACTTTTCATTTTTATCAATTTCAAATTGCCATTTTTAATTTTTCAGTTATATTATGAGATCAATTTAAAAAAAAACGACAGTTATGCTCAGCGTAAGATGATCAAATGAGAATAAAACATTGTTCATCTAAAGGTCATCATTATAACTACTTCTGTTCAAAAGAGCTTGGTCCAGATGACCATTTCTATGACCCTTATGTCGTTATCATTACTGTAAAATTAGGAAGAATTGGAGAAAAAAAATTGTACAAATGAAAGAGGCATTGTGTAAAGTATATGACTTCAAGGCGAAAGTTATTGCAAATGGTTGAAAAATATTTAATGAATTTATTGCAAAGAAGATGAAAAAGCAATATATTTTGTATAGTAAAGCTTTTCCAAAATTGATTTTAATTTTAATTCAAAAGTTAATTTTTTCCTTCAAAAGGGTTAACTTTTGTTAGAGATTATTTAATTCCTAAAAGAACATTTGATGACTATTATTTTCTTTCATCTTATCTTCTCCCTCTTCAAGGGAAGATTTTTTTTCTTTCAAAAACGAAACAAATGATTTGAAATACCGTCATGTCCCAGTTTAACAATAAAATTGACTTGTTTTTTTCCTTTTTTGGCGGCATTTTATTTTTGTAAGAATCGTTTCAAAAAAAAAAAAACTCATAGAAAGTGTTCACACATTGTTTATTGTTATAATTCATCCGTACTTTTTCATTGCATGAATTGTCGCAGTAAAAAATAAGTGATAGATATTTTACTCAGATATTCGTTAATGAAAATAAAACATGAGATTACGAAATAATTACTTTTCATATCATTCCACTTCTCATTACTTATTCTGTATTTTTCAATTTAAATTATTCGAAATCTACACACCGAAATTTTTATAAGCAAGCATTATCTCAGAAAATATTTCCAGAAAAAATTTAATTCAGAAAAGGGATTTGTATCACTTTGTACTTTGCAGCAACTGGAAAAAAAGAAATTATGGGCTTGAAATTATTTAATAACTATCGTATATTGCATTACTCGGGAATCTATCATAGATTTTACTTCAAGTAACTGATAATTGAAATGATTTACTGAGAGAAAAATGAGCAATGATCGGTTGTTTGAGCCAAAACTTTTATCTTATCATTTTTAGACTGGCGCTAAAACTGATATGATTTGCCTTCCAGAAAAATTAAAGGTATGGAATTACAGGTTCGGTATAAACAAGCGAAGAATGTAATTGCTATTTTCAGTGATTGCTAGACATATACCATAACTTGTTATTATCTTTCACACTCATCACCGTTCCTTCTCCTCCATTCATGCTCCCTTTTTCCCTGCCGATGATTTTCATTCCAATGTTTCTTCTTGCTCCCGACCTGGTGATCCTGTACTTTTACTTACTTTAACTAACTTAACCTTTTAGCATAAAATAGCCGCTAGAAAAGAGATGTTTTCTAATCTTTAATGAAAATTAATAAATTTCTCTAACGCTTCCATTAGTGATATATTTAAATTGGAAAGACATGATTATTGTGATAGGTGGATCAATTGTTGAATAATTTAAAAGTTATTTTTAATAACAACAACGATGCTTCTGATATATATGCCAAGAAGGAATAGAATTTCTATATTGAATATACTGATAATTTAGGTACTGTATCAGTTTGATTAATTCATTTCGTATAAATTCCATATTTTACCATTACTTTAGGAACCACTATACCAATCATTGTTCTATTTTTTATTGTTACTTCAAGCTTATCGATTAAAATGTATATTTAAAAAATATAAAGTTAAATAAAAGATTTACCCAATCTTTCGGCTTCCTGACAGTTTGGACATTCACAGTTGGATCGTGTAGGTAATTTGCCACCTCCTGCATGTGTTGTTGAATTGTTAGAGATTTTTGATAATGAATTACCGATAGAATTAGAATTTGATATCGATGCTACTTGACTAGCAGCTGATACTGTAGCTGATACGGTAGCAGCAGATAGTAGTCCTTGAAATTGTGGACCAAGATATGGTGAATAAGTTGCTGTAGCAGTATCAGTACCAACAGTTGGTGAATACGGTAACGGAGGCCAAGTTCCAGTTGGTTCGGTTGTCCACCATGGTGCTGTTGCAGCTGCTGACCATGAGTATGGTGAATAAACTGTAGCTGTAGCATTTGTATACGGCATCGTATCTACCAGTGTACCACCACCTCCTGCTGCCATTGCTGCGGCTGCTACTGCTACTGTTTCGGTATTTCTTGAATCTTTTTTTGATGATAATTTTTCTTCCACCGATGCAGCAATACGACTTTCTGAGGCTAACCGGTTGTACTGTTCCATTAATTTACCCAATGGACTTTGTTCACAATTTGATAACATCAAACTTCCAGCAGCAGCAGCAGCAGCAAGTGGTACAATTGGTTTTAGGTCATTTTGATGATCCATATTACTTTCAATGATAATTTACAAGTTTCTTCACCGATTCTTCACCTCAATTCACCAAAAAAAAAATAGTAGCGAATATAATTAATAGAAGAGGTCAGATAGCATTGATAATATTTATTCAACCAATTTATGCCTGGAATCGAATTCCGACAATTTTACAATTCATTCATTTTACACCTCAGTTCACAAAAAAATAATAGCAATAATAATGAATATTCTTAGTCAACAAAATATGATTTTAACAAGTTCTATTTTATCAAAAAGATAAATTTCTACTCCCAAATAACTTATTTCATAAACAAACATCGCGAAATATTTCAGATATAAAGATTTTAAAATACAAATATATGAATTCATGTAAATGTAACAATGAAAACATTCATATTGATAATATAATAAAGTAAGGCAATTTCAAAGTTTAGCGTTTGAAAACATATCATATGCAGTTGAGAGAATTAAATTCGCCCATATTGCAAAGAAGATAGAAAAATATTGACAGTAAATGATAACAGTATTATCATTCATTGTTAATATAGTGAGAAGTTAATAATCGTAGCAAAATAAAACATTGCTTAAGGTGGAAGATGAAATGATAATTTCTATTTCATGCAAAATTATCTGTCCAATCTTCTCTAAGCTACTTACTTTGATAATCAATCCCGCAATTCCTTTTAAGATTGAGATTATTGTGGAAATAATTCTTGTGAATGATAATAAAGATGACGATGATGATAATGATGATAATGAGAAAGGAGCTGAAATTGATGCATTTCTTCAGTAGGAGAAATGATCGAGAAAGAAAAATGTTAAATTGAAGAGGAAGTGTTGCGCCCCGCCCTACTCTCCCCTAATGACACTATTTTCTACACCTTCGGATGGCTATTTTCGATTGCTCAACCTAACGAGGACAATTCTGGCCTCGTTAACAGCCTTAACAACGCCTTCTCCTTCTCCCCCTCCTTCTTTTCTCTTTGTTAACTTTTGGTATACGGTAACTGCTCTATTTCTCCTTCTCATTTTGTACCTTTCCTCTGATACATTTGCCTCTTATCTCGGCTTAAATATCATCCGAAATGCCATTATCTTGTCAACGTGAAGAAATGTCATAAGTAATCAATGATGTTATCACCGTTTATCCGTAGAATAATGCTATTACTTTTATCCGTGTAGTTAATTAACATATCGAATTTGGGCAAAATAACTGTGTGTTACCTGAATTTCAATAAGGTCAACTGAATGCTGAAAAAATGGAACAGTCGGGGGTTATACTTTTCTGGCTTTTGTAGGTTTCTGCACTTATTCATCTGAAAAACCCGGGAAATATCAGAAGTTTTCTCATCTCTGTTTTTAGGAAATATCAGAAGTTTTCTCATCTCTGTTCTCTTTTTTATTACATATATTACGTGCTTTTAGTGCAGTATTCCACAATTCTATTCGTTTTTTTCTTTCTGATTCTCTTTTGTTATTCGAACTTGATCATGGAGTTTGAATCATGAATTTGAAATGCATTATAGTTGATATGTGAAATGAAACAATTCATTAAATTCAAAAACGAGGCATATTCGAATCTTGAGTTCTTTTTTGCTTAGCAAAATATGCAATTGTACTATAACTTTCAAATTTCATCTATCCAAAATTCTGTTACCTTGTCTTTAATTTTTGTTCCTTATAAGTAATTAATATTCAAATTTTGATTCACACCTTCCAATTGTATTTCCTTGACAAATTCATCTGATTTATTAAAATTTTTTATCAGCCTCGAAATTAGTTTTCAACTTAATACATATGTATTTATATCTCAGCTAATATTTTGCGAATGCATGAGAATCAATTAAAAAGCAAAATTTCAGGTTTTCATCAAAATTAATTGTTAACTGAAAATGAAAATTACATTTTACAGTTTTTTGGATACTTATTATTTTAAACGATTTGGTTATCACACATGATAAGACAGTCTTTATTATGTGTTATCACACATAAGAAACACCGTCTTATCTTATCAGTAGTTATAGCCTGAATACCAAACTACACGGTTCTGTCCTAAATTTTTATATTACTATATGTGTACTCATCACCATATGTTATTGCATGAAATGGCAAGCAGAAGTTCAGGTTGAACTTCAAAAATACCTTGCCGACATTCTGAAAGATAAAAAAAGTGGAGGTGCATGTTGACACAATCAAGTTCCACCTTCAAATCATTCTGGCCTTTCTCCTACAACAAAAGCCGCCATTTTGTCTGCTCGTGGTTTGGGAAGGCCAAAAAATTGGGCCGATATGACGAGAAAATGACCGTCGTTGCGTAATAGCAAAAGCGTTTTCCCCAATAAATTATAATATCAAATTTTCATGATTGTATATTTTTACGGCGTTCAACGGAAATCTCCAATTATTGATGGAATGGTTAGCGTAATTAACAGAATGTTAAGCAATTTCAGTGAAAAATACAAATCAAGATCTAATTCAAATAAGATATAATCTTTTAATAGATTTTTAAAAAAAAGTGAAAAATGTTAAATTTATGTCAATAATATGTTAATCACTCTTTTGTATTTAATCTTAGATGCTCGAATAATTTTTGTTTTGTATTTCATGCACAAATTATTTCATGCTTGTTTTTGCTTTATCAGAAAACTTATTCTGATAATTTCACTTATAAACCGGACGAACTTTGAATCATTATCGTCATAATCTTTTCTTAAAGCTACTATCATAGTTATAATCTGTTACTTTAATAGAATTTGAAATCTTCCAGCTATTCCTAAATTGATTTTTATCTACAAAACAAACAACACTCATTTATTTATTGTTATCATTCATTACTACCAGGTGGGAAGAGAGGATTACCGTAATGAGAAAACAAAATGATAGTGTAGCTGTAGTGTGATTGCACATACTATTATGGTACCACAGGATTTATTGTGCCCAATTTGAGAGGAAAGTAGTAGCACCTGGTGAGGATATTCTTCTCACTTTTTTTCTCTCTTTTTTTCTACATTCTTTGCTGTTGCAAGACTCCGACCCGATCCGATCCAATCCATACCAATGTTCCTACCCTGTTATTTTCCACTTCATTGCATCTCACTTGCGTTAAGTGATTAATTGGCTTCATCCACCTTCCAAAATTTTCCTTTTCAATTTATCATTTAAAAAAAAAAAATGAGAAAAAAACTCATCGGTCTGTTATTCGTTTTCCTCTCTCCTCCCTTTAAAAATGGATTTTTTTTTTTGGAAATTTAAATGTAAGCAGCAAATGATCGATATGAAGTAATTGAATGATACCGATTTTGGTTGTTTATTCATTTTCTTTTTCTATAAGATGAATATCCATTGGTCATTGTGTGAGAAAAGGTAAACCACCCGCTGAGTGGACACATACTTGCGCTGACACTTCTCGGAAGGTAATGCAATAATGAGGAAAAAAAAAACAGCAGTCAATCCAATTAGTTATTTCTTCTCGTTCATTGTATTAATGAATCAATGAATTTTTTACACTAACAGCTGTCTCGGGATGCGATCTATCAAAAGCAATTATCACACCTGAAAAAAAAGACTACTTGTCGCAAAAACTTGAATAACATCTTTGTCAAAAGTTCTTTTTCCATATTTTTTTTTGATTTAAACAAAATGAATTAATTCGATGAAATGAAAAATTAAATTGATTATAAGTGATTATTTCTTTGCTTTTATTATGCCAACATTTTTGCAATAAGGATTTTTCAACTATCAACAAAAAAAACACACACAATGATTTAAGATTTTTTGTTTACTCAGTTTAAAACTGGAAGAATTTTGTTGAATGAAAAGAGTCAGCACATAAATAAGAATAAAAAAGTGATTGTTATACAATAGAATAATGGCACATCATGATTGAATAAAAGGTTAAATAAAAAGCTTCTCGCCATATAAATTTTGTTAAATCAAGATTTTTGAAGGGTGCAAAAATTCACCAACATTTATTTCATACATCAGTTAAGTTTCTTGGAAATTATAGAATTTTTTGCTGAAAAAAAAATCTTAAATTATAATTCATGGATGGAAAAAACATCTCTGCGTATTTCTATTTTCTATAAATAAAAAAATCTTTCGTACTCCAAGAAACGCTGAAAAATGTTAAAACTTTCTGCAAGCTTTTTCAAATAAATTACTAATAGTAAAATCTAGCAATAAATCAATGATTTAAATTGAGATAGTTAAATATGATTCCCATAAAAATTGTTCAGAGATATTGTGTCATCAGTAATTTATCCAGTTATCAGTAACAATCAGATCATTATTGGATGACGTAACAAACATGACATGACATGATAATAGTGTTGATCAATTTCAACTATACCATCTCAAACTTATGATGAGAACAACAGTGTAACTGATGATTTATTTCGCTATTCGTATTCTCTATGGAGGATAACTGATCAATCAGATTTCAAGATTTTATCATTCTCAAAAAAGTAATTTAACTTATAGTTGTTGTGAAAGTAGAGAAAAAGATTTGAAATTATTTCTCACATATCTCTTTAAATTAGTTTATTTGTTAGCTAAATTTAAAATTATTAATACAGATAGAGTAGAAAGGCTTTAAATACTTTTTCATAAAGTGCATGATCTATTCAAATCTCTATAGGAGATTGGTTGCACAATCCATCCCTTTGCTACTGCTTTAATCTGCCCATTAAAGGAACATAATTGTAGCATCGTATTTCTTTGCCTCATCACTGAATGTTTTTTTTTCCCAAATGCATTACTATGATTATAGGTCATATTTATAGATTCTCTTATGAGAAAGCAGTTTCGACAAGCTTCTACGGCATATTAAAGTCCAAGCATTTCATTTTTTCTAATACTGTTACTTATCATTTTACTACAGTTACCCAAATGGCATTCCTTAACCTTAACCATTATGCGTCTTAGAAATGTGAAATAAAAAACATGGATGTTAAAAAGCATTTGCCTTGAAAATGCTACGATTATATTGTACACCTCGTGCCATAATTAGTTTTTATTTTATGGAAATTAAATTGTACGAGAAATTTTTCAAAATACTATTACAAACAAATATAATATATAGAGTACTTTCATCAACAAGATCAATGATTATATAAACTACGATATTTATCCTTTGCTAATTAGCGTTTTAGCAAAGCAGCGCTAAAACAGTGCATGAAATAACGATATGTCTATAATTGGCAACTGCTGTGCGTTTCTCCCGAGATAACTTCCACTAATTGCTCAATTATGTTAGACGAAGATTTAGTGAACAACTAAAAGCCTACAAATGTAAACACAATACACAATTCCAAATGTTTACAGAAAATATGACTTAAAATTTAACGAAAGTTGAAAAAAAAAACAGATTTCGACCACTAACACTAAATTTTTTCAGTTGCTAAGGAACATGAAATCTAAAAACATAATTATAAGAGAAATCAGAAGTATGGACAAATTCAGTCTCTTGTTTAAAAATAGTACACAATATTGTAAGGGATAATTATGATAATACTGTATCAACAATCTAACATAACATACATAACTATATTATAATTTTTTTCCATATTACTGAATAAAAGTATTAAAGATCAATGAGTATCACTTGTGGTATTTCGAACGAACGGCCGAATGATATCCATTGCCTGCGATAGTTCTGAAATAACACCAATTTTTACGTACCTGCACGTTAAAAAGCTAACAAAATTCCTTCCATGAATCGGTCATCTAAAGCCAAGTGATTCAAACTAATAGAGGCCACATAAGCGAGATGGCGTGAAGCAGGATTCTTTATGAAATTCATCGCACCGAATCATCGTAAAAATGTATCTATTAGGATTCAATATTGAGATAGTAGCTGATGTGATAATGACATAACATGTCATTAAAAAACTTGAAAATTTAAAGTATATTAAAATTCATATCCATTCAAAAAATTTTTTGATGGAACAAAAAATATATAATACTCCTACAGAATACAAGATATTTATAATATACACTTCTTCCAAAAACTTGAAGACATTTATAAATGAATGATCACATTGTGCGACAGCCAAAATTTATTGTATTTAATCTTACGTTCAAAGTCCGTCTTCTAAATACTGTCAATACTTGTTTTCGAAAACAAGTAAACTTCGGCTGTCACTGAAAGTGACCAATTAAAAAAAAAATATTTTCAAATTACCTTGAACCAAGTAGTTTAGTTTCGTGTCGTTCAATATTATCGATATATCTTCCTGGTTATTAGAGTGCAAATTCATTATATATACCTAAAACTCCGACGAGTATAATTGAGCAGCTTCAATTAACTTATGATATGCTGTAAGCTATTTGAAGCTAATGGTGCTTACGTGATTAATATTATTATATGCTAAAATATAATGTTAAAATATAAAATGAAATTTGAAATCATGCTATTATATTTAAACGAATAGCAGAGCTAATTAAGAAAGATTAGAAGCAACAAGATTAATTAATAAAAAAAGGAAACTAAATTTTGACTAAGCTTCCCTTTCAAAAAAACAGAGATCTCAAAATATACAATTAAGAAAAAAATTCTTTTCTTACCTTTCCATTCTCTCCTTCCTTGGCATCCACTGAAGAAATCGCAAGAGATGAAGCTAAATTAATAAGATTATAAAATCTTTAAATTACTATCTTCATTTCAGACTATTTCATATTTCCCGATAATTCCAAAACTATGTTCATATTCACCAAATTTTTTGAATCATTAACTTTGATGCTGTGAATAGACAACTTTTCATACTTTTCTACCTCAAAATGAAACATACACTAGAACTTCAAAAAGACTCATTCCACAACAAATTAATCTACATCAAAATCCTTAAAAATTCAGACACAACTAACCACGAGGAAAATTGAATAATAAAGCATTTTTTAATTTTTCTAAATTCATCGCATAAACCTTTGTCAACTGTTTGCAGTGTTCTGAAAAAATACAAAAGTTAAAAACCACTGAATTTTGGAATAAAATTAATGTGAATTACATTATACACCAAATAGGGAGAATGAAGAGAAATCAGCTCAAAATTTCGTTAATTCTTAATTTTGATTAAAGCACTTCAAAGCAATGAATAATGCGAAAATTGGAGTTTTTTTCAGAGAAATAAAGAAAAAATTTTCCAGAGAAATAAATAAAAACAAATACCTGCAGGAAGACCCAACTGTTGCATTTCCAGTTCAAGATCTCGAGTTGAACACGCACTTTTCGTCGTTTTTTCCAATATGAATGTGAGTGCTGCTAACATTCCTTTCAAAGATTCGTCATCTAAAGCAAATGCTAGTAGGCTTTAGCAGAACACGAAAGAAATTGAAAACATATCTCACAATATGAGCAGTACATACAAGTGCAGAAATCCTGAATCTTGTCAGAAAATTTGTTTGCAAATCTAACCTGCGATCAAATTTAGAAATAACCCTTAACCCCTACTGTCTTTAAAAAACATATACAGATACAATTCTATTCTTCCACTGTTAATCCAGAAATTTACAAAGAAGAGAAATAGATTTAAGAGAAGTGTGAAGCCTTAAAAGTGGAGCAGCGCATAACCAGAATCCTTTCCTTTCTAAAACACCTTTCCCCTTCCTCCTTTTTAAGCATGGGAGTACAATATCTGTTGATAATATTGTATCTATGAAAAAATTGAGCAACATTTACCAAAAGTTTTATCAGCATTGAGGATTGCAAGATGTTCATCATTCCATTCAGTCCTACCACTGATTAGACATTCCACACAGCTTGAACACCAATTTTTGAATTTTAGTACTGGCTGAAGAGCCATCATATGGTAGATGGATAACGAAAACTATGTTAAATAGAAGATCGCTGTTAAAGATGTTCGCAAAACCCTACATGGTACTGAGTAACACCATTCACCCTGCGCTTGTTTTCATCAGAAGGATACGTTGATCAGACATGGTTCAAAAGCAGACTTAAACAAATTAGTACCTTCTTCTGATCCTTCTTTTTTTAAACTTTTCTTGCTCCTTTTCAACATTTTATGGCAGTGAAATTCTTCGAAGAAAATGAAAGATAAAGACTTACAAGCTTTGATAAAGATGCGATCTCAGCCAGAATCCAATCCGGGCAGTCTAAGCCACCAACAAAATGAAACTTCTGAAATGAGAAAAATATTTAAAACTTTTTTGGTTCCTTTTTAACCGCTTAATGGTAGATAATTTCTGAATGAAGCATAATTTGTCCGAAAAAAGTCATGCCAGTTAGAGAAGATCAATGTAAAATTAAATCAGTCGATTAATTGAAGACTTCGATTGTAGGGCTGCACAAAATTTAATGACATAACGAAGATGAAATAGGAAACGAGAAAGACAGCATCTTTTCAAGAAAATGTGAATTTCATATTTCTTTGAATTCAAAGTTTAAAAGATCTCAATTAGCAAAAGAAATCGAAGTGAACTAGCAAAAGCATATATTCGACGATGGATTTTTGAAACATGTTCTGAAATTAGATGAGCTGTGAACCATTTACATACCATTATATGAAAAAAATTTACATACCATTATCTCATTTCAAGTTCGATGTGATTCAGTGAGATGTGTCCTTCAAAGATTCAACTTATTTTAAAGTAATCAACAAATATAAATAAATACGCCGTGTCTATTCATCCAAAACTGAATGGGATAGGAGAAGTTATTCCGTGTGAACAGTCGACGCTCAATTTGTAAAATTTCATTTTTGGAATTGTTTTTAATCGAAAACTTAAGCATTAAATTTTGTTAGAAAAAAGGAAAGAAAGCAATTGTAGCTGGTGGCTAAAGCACTCGATGTTGTATGAGAACCAGAACATTTTTGTGCGAATTAAACAAATTTTGAATAGTTCTCGGTGTGAACCGAAAATCGGATTGGACTCATAAGCAAATTGAACGAAGATTCATAACGAAAGAGAAAGAGAAGAACATATTCTCAGAACTTCTACCTGTCCCGATCTCTACCCTCCTTTCTGATCCGGAAAAAGTAAGAGCAAGAAGCGAACCCCAAACCGAAATATGCTGTTCGTTGATTGATCCCAGGATTTTCACTGTAGCAAAGTCATTGTAGCTTATTCAAGGGAAGGAAGAGTTGACGAGAGATGTTGATTTTTGCGAAATAATATGGAGAATATGATGGTTATGCTTAGAGCAGAAGGGAATGCGCAGGTGGAGAGTGATGAGAATTAGAAAGATTGATGATAGAATGTGGTCGAGGAGTAGTAACAAAGGGTATATGAAATAAAGGGTGCAGTGCAATGTGCAACAAGTTGAATGAAGAGTGTGTGCAGAGCGTAGCTCAATGTTTGTTGCTTTTTCAGGAGTTTTTAAGTGAGGGCAGAGAGAGGTCATCATCATTTTTTGAAGTGTTGACCTTATTGAGGAATCGGGCGGGATGTGCACAGATCTTCCAATTCTTTCCTTTCACTTCTAAATGACATAGTTGTTTTTAATGACCTGTTTAATTCGAGAAACCGTACTAATTGAATACCGTTCATTGTGTCGTTGTCTTATACTTCATGCATATTCAAAATATGCGTTCATTTCAGGAATTCTACTAACTTTTTTTAAATATGTAAAATAAAGTAAAATGGCGCTGTAAATATTTCGAATTTTTTTCTAGACAATTTTGTACAAGATGGTAGATGCTTTGGAAGATGAATACGGCAGTCCATCTTTGTCTCTGAATTTTGTAGATACACCGGATGGAGATTCCTCCTTACTTCATGGAGCTACTCAGGTTGTCGTTAAAAGAATTCGAACTTTTAATATTATTTCTAATTTTCTAGTTGCGAAATTTTTTTTTTGAAAGTGAATTTCTTCTACAAATCTTTTAAATTTCAGGATTCACAGTTTGAATTTGATCAGCAATTCACACTTCCCTCACAGGGCTGGACTGGTACTCTTCCTGAAGTTGGTGCTGACCCATCGCAGGAATTAGTATTTGTAGACGAGGAAGAATTTCCTGTGCCAGGTCAATTACCAGCACATGCGTGCAGGTATTTTTGAAAAAGCAAATATTTTTGCGAGATAATTAAATAGGTTCTTAGGGATGTTCTTTAGTGCGGAAAATGTTAAGATATCCATCAAAACTGTGAGAATGGAAACTTCTGGTAAAGTACAGATTCGCATTACAATTTCAGATATTGCGGCATACATGACCCGGCTGCAGTGGCAATGTGCATGGTTTGTGAGAAATGGTTTTGTAATGGACGTGGAAGTACATCCGCCGGTCATATAGTTATACATTTGGTACGTTCGCAGCATAAAGAAGTTTCTTTACACAAAGAAGGTGCACTTGGTGAAACAGTACTGGAATGTTATCAGTGTGGTTCAAAGTTTGTTTTTATTTCATTTAATGCTTTTAAATGACTTGGTCACGGTTAGAATTTTCAAAGCTTGTTGGTAGGACATTCAAGGAAAGGAATCTGATGTATATTGGCTGCTTGATGGCAAGTGATTTCAACCATAGGGATTAAACGATAGAATGGTGCACGTGAAATCATATAAAGATTGAGAGGATATTCAAGCATTCTTGAGAATAGAAACTATAGTATTGCAAGAATTATAGTTTATACTTTTCAAGAGATTCGTGATGCTGAGAATATTTTTGAAGGCAAACATATCAATATTATGTAGTATTTTATTTAGGTAACACTTCTCTCATAATGAAAGTATAAATTTGTTAAAGCGACTTGTTCGATTTCTTTTAGGTAAAAGAGTACATGAATTAGACGCTTCCAAATATTTTGATTTCAGGAACATTTTCATGCTTGGCTATATTCCTGCAAAAGCAGACACAGTTGTCGTGGTACTCTGTCGTTCACCTTGTGCAAATCAAGCTGTTTTAAAGGATCACTCGTGGCAGGTTACAGTTTATGGTTCTTATTAATTATGAAGTTGCTTAACTGATTTTTCTCTCATATTTGATTTCTTCATTTAATAAAAATGCCTATGGATTGATAGAAAAGGTTTTTGCTGTTTTAAGTTAAATTCTTAATTTATTTTTTTTGGAAATAACCTTCCTTTGGAAAAAGGAAAGCAAGTGCTTTTTAGTATCTGTATCAGTTTAGGTGGATGAGTGGAAACCCTTAATCAGTGATCGGCAATTGCTATCCTGGCTTGTAAAGATACCATCTGAGCAGGAACAACTAAGAGCGCGCCAGATAAGTGCTGTACAAATCAATCGACTTGAAGAACTTTGGAAAGTCTGTTTCTTATTTTTCTCTCCAGTATAAATCGTAATATCTGAGGAAGGACTTAAAGATTTTCAAATGTTTTTTGAAAATTTTCAGGAAGATCCGAAAGCTGTGTTTGAAGATTTAGAAAGGCCAGGAATGGATGAAGAGCCAGATCATGTACAACTGAAATATGAAGATGCATATCAATATAAGCGTATATTTGGACCATTAGTGAAAGCTGAAGCAGATTACGATCGAAGAGAAAAAGAATCTCAAACACAAAATGTCGGTCATGTTCGTTGGGATGTTGGTCTCAACCGGAAACCACAAGCCTTTTTCCAGTTGCCAAAATTTTCGGAAGGAAGTTAGTGAAAATTTTATTTAGCTGAATAATTGAACATTTTGCTACTGAAGTCGGTTTGGTATCGCAAAAATATATTAGACTTAGTGAAATCTGTTATTTGATAGATTATTGGATTATTGAATATCATATTTTGCTATAAGTCTGTTTTTGCAAGCCGTAATAGTTGTTTCGAAATTCTGCAGGTATGAAACTGATGCTTGGAGATGAATTGCGTTTAAAGCACTCTCAAACTGCAGGTGGTGAGTGGAGTTCGATTGGGTGTGTTATCAAAATTCCCGACAGTATGTGTGATTCATTTTATTTTTAACCATTTTTTTAAATGTTAAAATATTCAACTAATCATGAATCTTTGATTCTTTAACACGACTCCTTTTGTGGTAGAAGTGTTACCTAATGCGAACGTGCACCATCGTACTGAAAAGATTCCATCCACATGCCAGTTAATGTGTCAATAATTCGGAGCTATTATGTATTCTCGGGTTATTTATGAAATACTTGAAACAATTATTCAACGACCTTTCAGATCATAATGATGAGGTTGGGATCGAAATGCGTTTGAAAGCAGAGAATGTACCCACTGACACACGAACAAATTTTACATGCGAATTTGTGTGGAACTCGACATCATTTGACAGGTATTTCTCGTTATTTTTTGTAATGTTCACTTTTGATGTCTTTTTAATGAGAATTTGTCTTAAGGCAATAATTATCACTGATCTTATAGTGAAATTGGATACTGCTGATGACTATATTTCTGCATACGAATTGTGTTTTAATTACCTTCATTTCATGGGGAATACAAATTTCAGAATGCAGTCTGCGCTGTCTTTATTGGGTCAAGATGAAGAATGCGTTTCGCAGTTTATCTATCACAAGTTGATGGGCCACGATATTGATGATATTATTTTTAAAGTATCGTTGCCGAAAAGATTTAGCGTACCGGGTTTACCAGAGCTGAACCATAGTCAAGTGCATGCAGTCAAAACTGTTTTACAGCGACCGCTATCACTTATTCAGGTTTTTTTTGATTTACCATGGATCTTCCAAAAGTTTTTTTTCCCATCTTTCATACAAAGGGTTTGCCATCATAATGATATCTGTAGCAATAATTTAGTTGGCTTATTTACAGGGACCACCTGGAACCGGTAAAACTGTGACATCCGCTACCATCGTATATCATCTTGTAAAGCAAACTAATGGTCAAGTACTTGTATGTGCGCCATCCAATATTGCAGTTGATCAGCTGGCTGAGAAAATACATCGCACAGGATTAAAGGTAGTTTTCTATTTTATAAATTTAAGTAAATGTAACAGTTTTAAGTTGATTCAAGTTTTATTTGCTATGAACGATCAGTTTTAGTTTTAGAGTTCTTAAATCGAACGCTCTAAGAATTCAGCTTTCCCTTTTATTTCTACTGTTGCAGGTTGTTCGTCTGTGTGCGAAAAGCCGTGAAACGCTTGATAGTCCTGTTGCCTTTCTCGCGTTACATAATCAGCTGAAAGCCTTGCACGGTGCAGCTGAATTGCATAAATTGCAGCAGTTGAAGGTTACTTGTTGGATTTTTCATAGATAACTAGAAATTATTATATTTCAGATGTATTAAAATTAGAAGCTAACTTGATGTCATGTGCAGCATTTGAGCACAAATTTTAATTTAGTGCCTCAATTTTGACAATTATAAGTTCACTGCTGATGTGACTTCGAGTGGGAATTTGTTGGAATCATTTCGACTATCACACTTCTATTGATGTAGTGAGCTCTGATAATTTTTCTTGATGAGAGAAAATATTTATTATTTGGAGGTATTCACTGTGTGCATAAGCATTTAATATGAAATATTTATCAGTTTTTGAAGAGAAATGCTCAGGTCTTGATGTCTTATTTACAGGAAGAAATAGGAGAATTGGCAGATGTTGATGAGCGTCGCTTTCGTGCTTTGCGTATGGCGAAAGAATGCCAATTGTTAACCGCTGCTGATGTTATCTGCTGTACTTGCGTCTCAGCTGCGGATAATCGTCTAGCACATATGAGAATTAAGTGAGTGTTATGTTTTTTAATGCATAGAGTAAGTATAGTTAAATATTTAAATTTGAACAAAATATATCAAAATTTATGCTAGTTTATTGTATAATATGAATTGAAGATGTGTTTTGATTGACGAATCAACCCAAGCTACGGAACCTGAAGTAATGGTAGCTGTTGTTTGTGGTGTTCGGCAATTGGTACTTGTTGGCGACCATTGTCAGTTAGGTCCTGTTATTATGTGTAAGAAGGTAAATATCTTCGGTGTTTAAGTTTTTTGATTTAATCTTACTATTAGTTTTTATTTAGCTATAGTTACATTCAAGGCAGCTAAAGCTGGTTTATCACAATCACTTTTTGAACGGCTCGTTTTGCTCGGAAATCGTCCAATTCGCCTGCAAGTACAATATCGTATGCATCCTGCGCTTTCTTCATTCCCGAGCAATGTTTTCTACGAAGGAAGTTTACAAAATGGTGTTACGGAAGGTAAGAATTTTTTATCAGCAGAGCGATAAAATGAAAGCTCATTATCTGAATATTTAAATAAGCAACAGGGGGGGAAGCAAGAAAATAAAACTTACTTTTTGACTTAAGTATTGTTTTTTATTAAGTCCGAAATTTTAGGGGAGCGACAATTGATTGGGATTGATTGGCAATGGCCAGTACCGGATAAACCAATGATGTTCTGGAGTTGCTGTGGCCAAGAGGAGCTTAGCTCGTCAGGCACATCATTTCTAAATAGGTAGCTTTTTCCATTGTTTATGAAAAACTGATAATATTTTTTAGGCACAGTCAATCGAATACTTTCTAGAAATTTGAAAGGTTTTTTTATTATTTTAGTAGGAATCTTTTTTAGTACTTTTTTTCCAGAACTGAGGCAGCAAACGTTGAGAAATTAGCCACTCGCTTTCTGAAAGCTGGAATAAAACCGGAACAAATTGGTATCATCACTCCTTATGAAGGACAGAGATCGTACATTGTGCAGTTCATGCAAACGCAGGGTGCTTTGCATAGTAAGCTGTATCTCGAAATGGAAGTTGCTAATGTGGATGCATTTCAGGTTCTTCTTTTATTTTTTTATATTTGGCATTGTTTTTAACACTAAAACTCGTCGTCAGTGATGCGAAAAAACTAATGCAGTTCTAGGTATTGGACTTTATTTACTTTTCTTTTTTGCATTTAAATGTTTTAGATTATCCAAAGTTCTTGAAGCTTTGCAAACGAGTAGGGTATTCAATAAAGACCTAACTCGTCATAAGCTTTTATTGTAACATTAGATCAAAATATATTTCTGTAGAAGATAAATCAATGGTCGTATGTTGACTGTTCCTCGTGCAACTGAATGGATATCTCATACCTGTTGATTAGGCTTTTGATAATTTAAAGGCAACTGCTGGCTATTTAAAAGCAGAATTGGGGCAGCCAGGATAATTGTTAGTCAGTTTGGCTGTTTTTAATGCAGTGTGACTTGGTAATATTTACCATAGCGCAACGATGAATCGGACATTTATTTATATCATGTTTGTATCATGTATAGATGATGCATCCTACTTTTAATGTTTTACAACTTTGTGATCTTTGTTTTAGAATTTCTAAGACCAAAATAAAATTTCAGGGCCGCGAAAAAGATATCATAATAGTGACTTGCGTTCGGTCTAATGATCATCAAGGCATTGGTTTTCTTAACGATTCCAGACGTTTAAATGTTGCATTAACGCGCGCTAAATTTGGCCTTATCATAGTTGGCAACGCAAAAGTATTATCGAGACATCCACTTTGGAATTATTTACTATCAATGTTTAAAGAAAAAGGTTGTCTCGTCGAAGGTCCTCTGAATAATTTGAAACCGTCACCAATTACGCTTTCTAAACCGCGTCGTGTTCCGAATGTTATGAATGTAAGTTGCTCATAAGATTTAAATAGTTCTGAAAATTCGTATATACATATTAGTATGTAAATAGCTTTTTTCTAGTTTTACCAATCAGGGACGATTTCTTTTCAGATGAATCGTTTTATTCCACGTGGAGCAGTTTTGGCGAGAGATATGCAGGGCAGTGCATTTGGTACTCGTACCCGAGATTTGCGATCGATACAAGACCCATTCGCAGCCATTACTCATGGTCAGTTACGACCTCAGAATGGGATCAACATCCCGGTACCAATGCAGATGTTTGTTCAACCACCACCACCACCTCATTATTACCAACCTACACCTCATCCACGTCATGGCGATTTGAATTCTACTGCTGCTACTACGGCACGAAATCATAAACATTTGGAACAGATGAACATGTTTAGTTCGCAACAATCTCAAGATCCCATTTTTATGCAACAAATCGGCGAGATGTCAGGTAAATCGCAATTCTATTTGCAGAGTATTTTCAGAAGTCGTTTCCTGATATTCTAAATCTTGGTTGAATTACATTTTCTTCGAGAAAGCGCGTACTTTTTCAGGTATATCGCAGGATATATCAGATTGGACACAATCGCAAACGCAGCATGGTGCTCGTGAAGGAGGTGTTCCATATAGCCAGGTGAAATTTTTCACCTTTGCAGCGGTAGTTGTTGTGTGATTCTGTATTGCCCAAAGACGTGTAGAAATTATACCAACTAAAAATAGTTTTTCTAGAGACGGTATCGTTTAAGTTTTAGAATAAATTTATGGTTGCTGCTTCAATTATTTTTTCTTTCGGCATGAATAGCATAGCTACTTGAAAATTAGTTCTGAATTTCCTAGCGATAGCAAACTTAAAGAAAAAATAATTAAAATTTATTTGGGATTTCACAATCTCTAACCAAACTGAGAGGTTTGATACCTCAACTGTTCACTATTTTGATTTTTGTTTTTCTTATTTATTTTTTGTTTGAAAGCAATTATTTTTCAGGACCAGTTATTGGTTAGCCAAATGGAATCACTTTTTCTGTCACAAGATGCAAATGCGGACAATTGTAATTTCGGTGATGTAAGCCAGTATTAATCAAAAGCAGAAGCATATGATTATCTGAGGCCTGGAGCACTAAAATGCTGACTTCCTGGATAAGCAACCAGTAAAACAGAAGCACAGCCCAATAGCTGGGCTGATGTCCATCAAGGCGGTATTTGGTTAATCACTACTAATATCGAGTCGTTCGAGAAGGGATTATGGAATGAATTGCTTGAAGCTGAAAGTGCAGTTTTTCTGTTCATCGTTGGAAATTTTCTTTTATGAATCAATTATGCCAAAGATGTGCTTCTCTCAATAATGACAGTTTTTTGCTGAAATGCAGTTCTAGTAATCGTCAGTTATATGTATTGAGAGATCATTTATTCGTTTCTTGGTGTTTATGGTAGAGTAGCATGCGCGTAATGTATCTTTTGTTGATGATAGTTATGGGGTGTACTCTTTGAAAGCAATTTAAATCCAAGTTACTTCAGATTATTCATAATGGATAACATGATAAACTTCATAAATATAAATAAATCCATAAAGGACTCTGAGCTGTCTCGATTTGTAATATAGATAGTTTTGGCGATGCAGAGAAGACCTTCCATTAGTTAATTCCTACTCAAATGAACTATCACTTGCTTGTTAAAACACTTGTAGTATATTTCGTGGAATTTTTTGTTCATGTTTAATTGAAATTCCAAGAATTTTTGCATGTTAAAACTATTATAAGGAAGTCCTCTGATTTGCAGTAATATCGCTTCTTGTCGCTAATAATTTATTATCACTCTTCTATTTCTTATATTTCGTATTCAAGTTGAAGATTTCTTTAGAAGGAATTGGTAGGGTTTTTGTGAAATTGAAGTCAGTATTTTACATTTAAAAAAAGCTAACTGTCCTTTTCAGAATTTTATACCCATAAAAATACAAAAATTAATATTTCTGGTATAAGTAATCAACATTAGCTTCTGCCTACAGTTTTGATCTTTGGACATTGATGCCATGAATTTTTGGAAAATTTTATGTTTCTTTTGAATAAAATCGAGTCATATTTGAAGGTGCAGAATTTTGTATGACTATCAGTGTGATGTATTTTGAACTTATATAATCTTTTTCGGTAGTTCGAAGGAGATTTTTTTAGTTGTGAGCTTTAACTCGTACAGATGAGTGAGTGAGTATTAAAGCATAATATCTGTTTCGCACCAGGTAATATTGTATTTTACAAGATAGGTAAGGCTATACATATAGCTTGAAATTTTTCATTTTATATGGGAAAATATTCACATAGGCATTTGTGTGTATTTGTCGGCCAGCGTTTAAGTAGTTTCGGATTTGTTGGGGATGATCGATGTTATTCTTATATACTCATTAAATCAGAATTTTGGTTGAACGGATAGACATATTGCTATTTTCGGTCGCATTTCAGCTGTCCTTACTCAAAGAATTCCATGATATTTAAATTTCGTACTTGCAGCAGAGATATTCGATTGGAAAACATACCGAGATTTCTAGAGTTATAGACGAGTGAGTAGTGGCATGAAAGAGAAAATTTTATGCGCTGAAGGTTCTTTTTCAATGCAATAACAACAGGAAGTAAAAAATGAATGTTTGAATTGTACATGTGCGGAAGAACTCGCGACCAGTCTTAGGATTCGTGAAATAGTACTGAAGAGTATTAGAGATTTTTTGAGAAATGGTGGTTTTTAGAAAGTAGTGTTGAAAATGGCTAAACGTGGTATTCGAAACCGAAACAGGAATAATGACGCTATAAAGAAAAAGGTTGAATTTTTAGTTCGTTATAACCGTAATTTTTTTATCTTGATGTAACTCTGCCTTCTTATTTCGTACTATAGCTGAACAGAACGATGGATCATCACATTTTGAAATGGGTATTGTGGGCATGTATCAGTACTGAATAGATAAGTGGATGAAATAGTATATTCTTTTGTCCCAGATAGAGTTAACGTAGTTTGCAGGGTGAAACGCAGAATTATGTGTTAACAGAATTTGATAAAACAAACGAAAACTTTTGCTTGTATTACAAAAGTCAGGGAATTGTCAAAGAAGATGAATGGGATGCTTTCATAGCAGCTTTAAAAGACGATTTACCGACGTCGTTCCGAATCCAAGGAAGTAGCAGGTATCTTTTTTCTCTTGCATATTTTCAATACTTCCAACTGTATATATCCGTTAGAGTAGCAAGTTGACATGTTTTGACTTTCGGCTTGAGTAATTAATTAAGTTCTTATTTTCGGATGGAAATGCAATAGGATTTTGTTTACATGATCCAGATTTTTAGTCAGCATGGTATGATTTTTTCCTATACATGCTTTCATATTTGGAATTGCGGAATGTTTTAAAATGATTCCAATTTTCTTTTTGTTCAAATTATATGGCAATTGTCTAATCGAATTTTAGTGAAGCACAATCTCTGATCGAATTAATGAACACTCGTTATTTCGAACCTATGAAACAGTGGGAAGATGGTAATATATTTGTGCCAAAGCAAATTCCCTGGTATCCATACGCTTTCCAAACTCCTATATCGCGTGCCACGCTACGCAGTCGACCGTTGTTGAAGAACTTCCACAATTTTCTTATCACGGAAGCTGAACTGGTTCATACATAAAATTTCATATATATAAGATTTTATCAGCTTTTTCTTCATGTTTTAACAAATGCAATATCAAAACTATGAAATATTAGAATTGCAGGTTTTATCATAATTATAAATACTTTTTTTAAATTATAAATATTTTTTAAATTGTAGTTTTTTATTTAAAATAAGGGTTTTATTTATGCGGATTTGAGCAAAGATTCATGTCAAGGTAAAGCGAAATGTTTTGGGAATTAAAAATCTTATTGCATCTGAGTGTTGAATCTTTCGGATGTATTTTTAGGGCAATATTAGTCGACAAGAAGCGGTTAGCATGATTCCTCCACTTCTGCTTGACATAAAATCACATCACAAGATTCTCGATGTCTGTGCAGCACCTGGAAGTAAAACTATGCAGATTATAGAAATGATGCATTGCGATGACAAAATTCCTGGTAATTTCGAGTTCAAATTCAGAAACTTTTATTGAACTTAAGGAAACATAATATTTCTAATGGAGCATCAATTTTTATATTGCTGAATAAAACAAAAATCATCGGAAGGTAATACCCTGAGATTGGTTTTGTCTTATTTTTGATTCCAGTTTAATGAATTGGATGGCGTTGTTTAACTGACTTGTGCAGGCTACTTTTTTTCGGTACTGTAACAAATGGTGAAATATCCGAAAGAAAACTGAGTCTTCCTTTGGATATTTCACTGTTTGCTCAGGTGTAAAAATATGTTTACAATGATAATGAATTTTGCAACATAATTTATTCTTAGAAGGCCTCATTTTGGCGAATGATGTTGACAATTCTCGATGTTATTTGCTGGTTCGTCAAGCTTTGAAAAGGATGCCAACGTCAAATTGTATTGTAATCAATGAAGATGCTGCATTTTTGCCGAATTTTTCAGTAGATAAAGTAAGTTTTCATCTTTATAAATATCTATTAGGCTGCAGATATATATTTGATTCTCCTTACATTTTTAAATTTTGGAAAAAAATATAATTTGTTATTTGAACCTTTCTTGATTTTTCTTAACGTTTTTATGTATACTGAAATATTTTCACTGTACTTTTAATTAAAAAAAGAGATTTTCAGAACACATCGGAACCGTTGTTATTTGATCGAGTGCTGTGTGATGTAATTTGTAGTGGTGACGGAACATTTCGAAAAAGTCCGGACATGTGGCGGTCTTGGAATCCTGTTAAGGTTATTATTTATATGTGGCATCAATAGGTTAAGAATTCATTTTTGAGGAAATTTTCAGGCTTTGGGTTTGCACAAGCTGCAAGTCAACATTGCTCAACGTGCCATACAGCTGCTTGCGGTGAATGGTGAATTTTTCTTAATTTTTTTATCATTTTTAAGATTATAACTTGGGAGCATGTTTTAGTATTTTCATAGCTTTTTTTGAGTAATAGATTTTTATTGGTTAATAGGAAAAGATTGAAATATTTTCTCTAAATGTTTCGATATAACATTGTCTTTCAGTTTTTTGCTGATCTGTAGGTTAAATTTACGATTAGTCCTGAACATGAGACTTTGTTATATTAAAATGTTTTGATTGCAGGTCTTATGGTATATTCAACGTGTTCCTTAAATCCTATAGAAAACGAAGCAGTTATTGCATCTATACTACGTTCTAGCGCTGGTGCCATCGAACTTGTTGATGTTTCTCAGCAGTTGCCTCAACTGAAGCGAACATCAGGACTTTCGAAGTGGAGGGTAATTAATCGCTTTTTACTGCCCATTTGTTTGAATATAGTTGGTTTTTACAATGCAATTTTTACTATTAATGCAGTAACAAATAAATGTTTTCAGGTATTTGATAAAGCTATGCGTGAATATAGTGTTCTTGAAGATGTAGTTGCTGACCAAAAACGATACTTTACTTCATCGATGTTCTCCCCAAACGACGAAGAAATTCAAAAGTTTCGTTTGGAACGCTGGTATCTATCTTGTATAAAAACATGCTAAGATCTTAGATGTGAAGCCACTTTACCATAACTCTAGTATGCAAGGTTTATAACACTTATCTGTATTGAATTTAAGATTGTAAAAATAGTATCATACTGTTCCAGTACAAAATGCAAAATCGACGGTATCTACTATAATAAAATTAGAAACAGTTTAATAACACAACATCTATGAAATAAGGTGCATTTATAATAGATCATCATCCCGTCGACTGTTTATGAAATTTTCCTTAAGCTTAAGTTGTGTCAACACTTATCTGTATTGAATTTACTTGCGCTTCAGCAAACAATAGACAAATTTTTAAAAGCAAGCAATGGATCCTGCCATAAAAAAAAAATTGTTACTTGTTCATATCTTTTAATTTTCAAATTCTGCTTTTCAGTTTTCGGATATTGCCACATATGCAAAATACTGGAGGGTTTTTTGTTGCAGTACTGAGGAAATCAAAATCTCTTACCCAATCAAAGCTTGCTTTCAAGTTAGTCTTTTAGTTCTTAATTACATACTCTTGTCTTTAGTTTTTTTATGGATACAGGTTGAACGTAGTGATTGCACTGGATTTAATTTATTAGAATGATGAATCTAAAGTTCTCAAACCTGCTTTCTCAAAAAATGGTTACAAACTACCATATAACTTGGAAATTGTTAAATTATATAACATATTGTTAAATTTATATAGCATATTGTATATAACATAAATTTATATGACATATTGGAAATTGTTAAATTATGTTTTTGAAAGTTTTTCAGTTTGCCGTCGGTGAAAAGACGTCGAACATTTAAGGAAGACCCATTTGTATTTCTTGAAAAAGACGATGCTAGATGGAAAGATATTGCGTTAGTTTAAAACAGCAACTCAGTTTTTTTAATTTGACTGTTAGATATAGAATTATATAATTAGATTTTAAATATTAAAGATCTAGTTGTAAGTAAGCGATTAATATATCAGTTTTATCAATTTGGACAATTTTTTAGTAGTCATTATGGTGTATCAGAAATGTTTCCGTACCAAAATCTTTTGGGGCGAACAACTGAAACAGATAGAAAACGGACTTTATATTTCGTGAATAGTGCAGTTAAGCAGTTTCTGCTATGTAATCAAGATAAGGTTGGTTTTTTATTTCTTGATTTGCCTTCATGTTTCTTGAATTTTGGTTATCAATTTTTCGAAATCAATTATGGATGAAATTGCAGCTTATTTCTGAGGTTCCTGGAATTGATATTTCGAGATACTTTTAACTTCAGTCGTCCGATTCGGTACAGTCTGTTATGAATATAATGAAAGACCACTAGATTTAAGGTAAAGGTGATTAATGCAGGAATTCGCATATTCGGCCGAGTTGAAAGCAAATATAATTTGTGTCGATTTCGGATATTACAAGATGTTGGTTTTTTATAAAATTATATCTAGTTTTCAAGTATATTTCACCGATAAAAATCTTATAGGATGCAGATAATAAAAAGTAATCGAATTTTCTAGGGTGTCAAAACAATTTTGCCATATTTGAGAAAAAGGACGTTTGAAATTAGCGTAGAAGATATGTGTAAAATTCTGAAAACTGAAAATGGAAACGGAAGTTGTCCTAGAGACGAACTGACATGTGATGAAAAATTCCGCAACATTCCATCTGGAAGTGTCGTGCTTGTGTCAGAATATGATGGGTACTTTTTGTTACTGATTTCTATTTAAATTTCTTTATCGAAAATAAAGTATAGTATGTACGGAGGTTTGAATGTTGTAACATTTAGTATTATTAGGTTTCTAAATTTTGATTATCTTCAATTCATTTTTCGCATTTAAAATTTTTAATAAACTAGATTAAAACAAGTTATTTGTGCGTGGATGGGAGCCAGAAGTCTTGCGCCATACGTTAGCAGAGAAGAAAAGATTCATGCATTGCGTATGCTTAATTGCGATACCTCTAATTTTGGTTAGTTTTCTCTTTTTCCCTTCTTCTTTTTGTTTTTTTCTCATTTGAAAGAAACAGTGCTTTAATTATCATCATTATTAGCAAATAGCGAATGTGAATAAAGAAATTAACTGAAAATTAGTAAATTTTTTAAGAAAGAGTTATGTGGACGAAACGGCAGTCAAAAGCAGCTTACGATAGAGAAGAAGCAAAAAAACGCAGAATTCTAGAAAAATCAGATGAAGTGGAAGAAGAAGAAAAGAAATTAAGCGGTGGCTACTCAGAAAAAATAAAAGAAACAGAGAAAGAAGGTAAACTAAGCGATGTTGAACTGAGCAAGATTGAACAAAGTATTGAAGAAGTGTGATAATGCTTAATTTTGTTAATTCGTTGAAAAAGCTTCCTTCTTTATCTTGATTTTCGTTACAAATGATGACGAATTCACATGTCTTAGTTTTTTGGTATCAAAAAAGCACAGTGATATTGTGAATGCTTCCTTGTTATGATTATTTTGTTCCTGTTCAAGTTGTTAAACTTCCAGTTTGATCTGTAATATATGGAATAATTGGAATGTTCGAATAAAGATATTGGGCTTGCGCATAAAGATAAATTGGGACTTTATGAACTATCTGTCTGGTTTAATTCTCAATATTTTTTGTTATTTATTAACACTATGACTTTTTTCAGACTGGTAACCATGTTCATATCTTTATCATTTCGTCGGTTATGCTTCTTAGTTCAGCTTGAGTGCTGAGGATCATATAGTTTCATCTATTAATAGTATTCAGTATCTTTATTATTTGATAACACTTGTTATTTTACTGTGTCAAATTTCAGATGAAACGAGCAGGAGACGAATTGTTCAGGAAATTGACTTTTGGGATTAGAAAACGACTAGAGCAAAGAAACGAAAAAAGTGAGTGTAACTTATGATTGACTATGATCAAAGTAGTCATTGTGTAAACACTAAGATGATTGCAGTTTCTACAGTGTCAGAATATGTTGTACATCAAAAATTTTTCAATTCTAGATATATTTTATTTGCATAGATTACGGTTGGATTTGAAGAGATTACGGTCAGACTTGAAGTTGAAATGAGACTAAAAACTTGAATTGAAAACAAAATTATTACCAATTATTGATATGAATTTTAGCCGATCATGATTTATCGCTCTCACGGATACTGCCAGATGATTGTAAAAGAAGACACAAGCAAATAAACTACGAAACAAGCAACAGTTTAATAATATCTGAAAAAGGTTATTTTTTAATCTTTGTAAATAAGAGAAAATTTTTCGATTTGTATAAGTCAGTAATGCAAATATATATAATGTGTATTGGAATGATATTTTTGGAGGATTTCAAAAATGTTCCATGATTTATCGTCTTTCAAATCCTAATTGGTAATCACGAATGAAATTGAAAAACTGTTGGCAGAGCGTGCTGTTTCAGAGATAGCCTTTGTAAAGCATAAATCCTTTTTTGCCATGAAATTATTTGCCGTTTTTTTGATCATAATTCACAGTTCATATTGTATATTGCACTTTTAATTCCTCTATTCAGAACCTAAAATTCTTGGAGGACTTGAGAATGTTTCAAAAAAGAAGAAAAGATGCAGAAGTCTGGCTATTAAGAAAGAACAGGTGAATTTTTTTTCCGGGAAATTTTAAATGGACCAAAAATTATGCTGTTGCAGTTTTTGAGGTCGTCATGTTTAGGTTGCACATTTGCGCAAATTAAATCGTATATTCGTTTGGGGCGATAATATTCCTGATCCTTTGGTACATTTCACCGAAATTGATGAATTACCGCAAGAACTTATCAATAATTTAAAAGAATTTGGTATCACGGAACCAACTCCAATTCAAATGCAAGCCATTCCAGTAATGATGCAAAAAAGAGACTTATTATGTAGCGCTCCTACAGGCTTGTTTTTCTTCAAATAGTCTTGTTTATCTTTCGCTCTTTTAAAAATTGGTTTTATGCCCAATAATTTGCTTTCGTTCCTCGAATTTATTATTTTTATATGCAGTGTTCGTTAAGGAAGCAAATTCTGTTGAACGAAAAAGCTATTTTTACAGGTTCTGGAAAAACATTAGCTTTTGCTCTGCCGATCATTTTTGATGTTGTACGGCGCAAAAGTCATACTGCACAAGACCAGTTGAATGCTGTAGTACTTGAACCAACTCATGAACTTGCTAAACAGGTTATTTCATGAAAGTATTTTTTTACAGCTGAATTACAACCTTTATTTTAAAATCAATTTTTTCAGACATACATTCAATTCCTGAAATTTTCTCATAATTTATCCGTTTCGTGTTCTTTTCTGGAAGGAAACGAAATCCCGGGAAATGGTATGTTAAACCTGTCTACTTTTAAGCTTTTGAAATAACTTTAAGTTTAAAATAAAATTAAGCACTATTTGTTTTTTTTTTCATTTTTTTTCATTAATGCTGGAAGAAGATTATCACTAATCTGCAGTTAATGGACTAAATTTTTTTTTGGAAAGATACAAATTTATTGGTATTTAAATTTGCCAGGGTCCTTATTTAATGGAAATTGATTCGTACATACAGTTACTTTAAAATTAGTTTTCTCCCAACTAGCATTTTTAACTATTTTACAGTAAACGTTGTCATTTCAACACCAAACAAATTGGTTCATGCTTTAAAAAAAAACAACAAAATATTGTCGGATGGACTCAATTGGCTCGTTATTGATGAAAGCGATAGACTTTTCGATACTACAGAAGGGGATGACAGATGCTTCAGGAATCAGGTGAAAATAATTACTCTATTATTTCAAATATGATGAGGATTTAGAAAAGAGTCAAAGCATGATTAATATTGCTTAACCTCATGTGATGTAAATTATTTGTAGCTTGCCCAGATATATCAAGCATGTAGTGGAAATCCTGTGCGTCGTGCCCTTTTTAGTGCAACATTTTCATATGAAGTTGAAGATTGGTGCAAAAGGAATCTTTACGATGTGGCTATGATTTGTATTGGCTCACGGTGAGGATATTTTTTATTTTGTTACTGTTTCTGTAGTTTTGCAATAAATTTTATGAAATTTTGTGCAAGTCTCCAATATCCCTGTAACATAAAGTATTGTAACTATTTGAGATCTTTTTGAATTATTGCTTAGAGCCATTTTAAATTTGATATTTGGATGAAATTTGAAGCCGTGGGTTTTAAAAGGGACTGCTTTCATCTTACTGATGAAACATCTATGGATAAGAATTGGCTTTTAAAATTTTTATAAGTTTTAGAAATTCGGCGGTTAGCAGCGTGAAACAAGAATTGATTTTTGCTGGATCGGAGCATGGTAAAATTATAGGTCTAAAGGCATTATTTCAAAGCAATTTCGAACCTCCAGCATTAATTTTTGTTCAGGTTTTTCGATTTTATATACATTATTCATATCTTGCGTCAATGGGATTTAAACTTTTTGACCAGCTAATGATAGGATCATGGCTGTGATAAATCAAGTCTGTATTGCATAATATCCCTTTTATATGGTAATAAGATTTTTTGACAGAGTAAGTTGCGAGCGAGACAACTGGTACCAATTATAGAATCACTTCAGCCGCCAATCCCGGTAAAAATGATTTCAAGTGAAAAAAGCGAGACTGAGGTTTCTAATATTTTCAATTTAAAAATTTTGCTTTTTATAATAACTCGGCGGCTGCTTGCCTGTTGTCGATTATTCAATATTTCGTTAAAAGAGACTTTGTAGCGTGAGTCTGCAATTGCCGAATTTCGCAGTGGACAAATTTGGGTTTTAGTTTGTACAGACTTGATGGGACGTGGATTGGATTTGAGCGGAGTAAATTTAGTCATCAACTTCGATCTTCCAACTTCCATTATCAGCTACATTCATCGAATTGGTAACATTTTTGTAAAGAATTATTTGCATAACTGCTAATGAATCTTATATTTTTAAATAATAGAGCTAGAGCTTTCTTATTTAGTTTCTATTTTAAGTTGGTATTGATCGCGTTCATTTTTTAGAAGTACTTTATATTGATTTTAATAATATGATTTGCGGTCCGAGTACCATTAAATTTTGGTGAATAGGTCGGACAGGACGAGCTGGGCGAAAAGGACATGCAATTACATATTTTACCGAAAGTGACTTGAACTTTATCCGTCCAATAGCAACAGTCATCAAGCAAGCCGGTTTTGAAGTTCCAGAATATACTTTAAGGATGCGAAAACCAACAAAGTAATTTTATCGCATATAGCATTCTTATTTTTGTAAATGCAACTTAGTTCAGAAATTTGAATTTCATGCTACACTCATTTCCAGGAAGGAGAAGAAAAAATTATTAAGACACGCTCCAAAACGAAAAAATATAGGATCTTTAAAAAAAGCGGATAGAAAAAGAAGAAAAGAGAAAAAACCAGGACAGGAAAAGAAGACGGTTGCTTAATTGCATTGGAGAGGTTGATATTTGCATTCATTTTTTCGCTATTGTTATTCTGTTTACTAAAATGGAAGTTTCAGAATATTATTGGCCTATTCCGCTTTACTGCTTAAATACATATATAGAATGTTGTGCAATATTTTGTCAATAAATTATATAGTAGCATTATTAAGCAAGATTGAAAAATATTTTTGCGCTAAAAAATAATCTATTTATAAAACGGTTTTCCTAGTTATTTTTGACACTTTTGTTCATTTATGTACTGTTCGGTTCGGCTATTTTCGGCAAATAGCTTTATTTTTTTCTGAAACGTCTCTGAAACGATAAAATTAACCAATGTCAAAATCGCATCAAGATAGCGATGTTGTAATGACTTCAAAATTAGAAAATAAACTTAAAATGAGCATTTAGAAGTAATTCCCGGTATATATTTGCTTCTCGAAGCCATCCTAAAACGTGTGTATGCAAAATTAGCGTGTTTTCTTTCAGCCTAGTTATCTGAAATTAGAAAATCTTGATCTGGAAAATCAAACCTATTTTCTCATAAAAAATCCTTTCTGAATGTGAAGGATCTAAGTGCAAAAGTGAATGCAGTTCAAAAATATTTTGAAGTCCCTCTTCGGTCACGTCCACCGTCGTGTCTCGAAATTTCTAGAATTATTCAAGGAGACAATTTGTACGATGATAATCAAGGACACTACTTTCAGTACACGGTAATCAATGTACTGAAAGTAGTGTCCAATAACATGTGCACTTAACCTTTCGTTTGCATTTTTTAATTCTTGGCACATAATGGGCTTTATCTGTCAACACAAGTTCAGTTTTGCATTGGAATGCATATATAATTTATTACTTCACAGATATTTGTTGCTTTCATTTAACTAATGTAAACTAATTGATTGTTTTTTTTTCGGTGATTATATCTAAAACAGCTAGTACAATGTTTATGATAGGTAGGATGGAAATCAAAGTTGGAGTGAAGGAGTGAGTAATCAGATTAATTACTAAAATATCAGTTCCGTTCTTCTCGGTAGGGTGAGTAATTAATTTATTGGAGATGAAATTCTTTTGCTATCCTCAATTTTCAAAAATTTTTCTCATTCTAATTTTCTTGGGGCAGCGAATTTCAACGGATAAACAAATATTAGCAATTTGTTTTCTTCCTTGCACATTGATCACACTGTTGTATTGCTTCATTGTATGCATAGTTTGTGTATAATTTTAAATTGTTCACAAGCACCTTAGAGATAACAATTGAAAGTACGAAGGAACAAACCTGGAAGACGGGGAGATTTTCAGGATAATTGGTTAAAATAATAAATTAAAGTAACAATAAAATAACAAATTGCGAGCAATTTGTTTTTATCTTACTGCATGATATTCACAAATTTGTATTGCAGTATATAATGCGTGTCGTGTATCTTATTATCCACCTGATATAAATATTCGAGAAACTCTCTTTTTATCGTGTAACGAAAATGCTCGGCAATAATCCAGTTAAAATTATCTGTCAGCAAAATAAATTCTATTCTTCAGTTATGGGTACAGAAAATATATTAAGACTAACAAACAGACAAATGCGATATTTTACAGCAATGAGTCAATATACAAAGAACAAAATCAAGGTGAAAAATGCAATTGTGGATTTGGATGGCGATGAGATGACAAGAATAATTTGGAGAGAAATTAAGGAAAAGGTAGGAATAGATTTTCGGATTGTTTAGGATACTTCAAAATAGAGTAAAATATTTCTATTATTAGCCTGATGGAATTAGTCAGTTTAATCGGTGAAAACGGAGCTCCAGAATTTAACTTGTCTAGTTGTTTTCGAATTTATTCAATTTAGTCTTTTGCATTGATTAATTTGAAAATGTTAGGATGATTTAAGATTTTATGATTTTGCAGTTAATATTACCTTACTTGGACATCAATATAAAGTATTATGATCTCGGCCTATCAAATCGCGATAAGACCGATGACAAAATAACATTGGAAGCTGCTGAAGCGATAAAGAAATACAATGTTGGAATCAAATGTGCAACAATTACACCTGATGAAGCTAGGTAGAACTCTTTACAATCTTATCTTTGAAAGAATCATATTAATAGATATAGCGTAAATGTGTTGATAGATATCGAACATTTAGTCTTTCTTGTTTCTATGTATTTTTTATAACAAGAATAAAATTATCAGATGCATAAAATTATTAAATAAAATATTTTAGGGTTAAAGAGTTTAATTTAAAAAAGATGTGGCCAAGTCCAAATGGTACACTACGAAATTATCTCGGTGGAACTGTTTTTCGTGAACCAATTTTATGTAAGAATATACCGAGACTTGTTCCAAGCTGGAAAGAATCCATTATCATTGGACGTCATGCATTTGGTGATCAGGTGAACTATGATTTGTTTCTTTGAAGTATCGCTTAAACGAAGTGAACTTAATTCATAATGAGAGTTTGTTTTTCCTCGAGTGAACAGCACATAGGAAAGAAGATTAAACGATATGCTCTGTTGGCTAAGAAGAACATTCGTTTACAGCCATCGTTATTTTCATATTTTTAACAAATCCATAAATATCAGTATTTCTTTCTCATACATTAGCATTCTGCAGTATAAAGCGACGGATATTACTGTGGAAAAGGGTACGAAAATTCAACTTTGTGAAATTATTGACGGAAACGAAAAGCGTTATGATGTATTCACGTTCAATAAAAGTGGTGGTGTTATCATGGGAATGTATAACACTGATGAGGTTTATTATAGAAATTTATAATAATGAAACAATATGAAAAATATTTAAAGCTCTGCTGTAAAACCCAATGGGACAAAAGTTGAAAAATTATTCGTCTCATCAAAATGAACAAGATGAAGAACTTGAAGTTACGTAGGGGAGGGATTATGGAAAAATCAAAATATATTTTTGCTCAGAGAGTTTCAATATTTGTTTACTTCTTTCTTCGAAAATTTCTAGAAGCTTGTTTGAAAACCTTCATAGTTGACGTAAAATTTATATTCCTCATTTAATTTCTGGTGAGTCTGGAATCAGACAACTCGGTATTTATGTCGCTTATTGAACATAACTATTTCAGAGTATCACGGATTTTGCGCACTCTTGTTTCCAATATGCTTTATCAAAAAAACGCCCACTTTATCTCAGTACGAAGAATACAATACTGAAAAGATACGATGGCCGTTTCAAGGATATTTTCAATGATATTTATCTTAAGTATATCTATTCTACTTTGCTCGTTATGCTGTGTGAAATCAAATGAAATTTCTTACTTTAACATTTTAGGAACTATGAAAATGATTTCAAGAAACTGAATATTTGGTATGAACATCGACTGATCGATGATATGGTTGCTCAGGTGTTCTTTAAAATCATCTTGAATGTTTCTGTTGAAATTTCTTTAAAATATCGATTTAAACAGAAGAAATATTTCATCTTCAAAATGATTCGCTGTTCCAGATGCTAAAAAGCGCTGGTGGTTTTGTGTGGGCATGTAAAAATTATGACGGTGACGTGCAGTCAGATATCATTGCTCAAGGTTCGGCAGCATTTTTCAACGATTTGTTGGATGATTACAGCTCTTTCAAAATTTTTTTTGTTGGATGATTGCAGCTCCTTTAAAATTTTTAAATTTCTATTTATTAAATATCATTGCTGCAGGTTTTGGATCATTAGGCTTAATGACTTCAATACTGATGTGTCCAGATGGTAAGACAATAGAAGCAGAAGCAGCACATGGTACGGTAACACGGCATTATCGAGAGTACCAAAAAGTAATTCCTTTTCAGAACATGACATTTAACAGCAATAACACTATTTTTTTTGTATTTCTTGCAGTAATGTGACAGTATTTACGATGCCTAACATCATCGTAAATACTACTATCACATTACTGTAAGGTTGATATAAAGTTTCATGCAATACACTTCAAGACTGATTATGTATGAATACTCGCTGATTAGAATTTTTGAAGGGTAAACCAACATCAACGAATCCAGTTGCATCTATATTTGCTTGGTCAAGAGGACTAGATCATCGTGGGAAGCTAGATAACAATGAAGAACTTCGGAAGTGAGTCATTTGCATTATTATGTCTAATGTGAAGCAGAATTGGCAAGAAGTAATAATCAAGAACAGATCAGACGGTATTATTATCACTATATGAAATTATTAAGGGAACTAGCGCAAAACAGAAAAGTAAACTATGTGTGACATATGTAGTACGATCATAAGGAAACGAATTTCTATCTGTTATCGAAATTCCACCATAGGTTTGCACGTACGCTAGAAAAGGCATGTATTACAACAATCGAAGAAGGAAAAATGACCAAAGATTTGGCAATTTGCATATATGGAACGCAAGGTGCAACGGAAGCAACTTATCTGAATACACAAGATTTCCTGGATGCTGTCGATAATAAGTTGCAATTTCTAATGAAATTAGAATAATTAGGGGTTTCTGAACGAGGTACGAGCTAACTTGAAGATTTCTTGATTTACTTTCCCCCCTACATTTGCACATTTTTGGCATGTTGTAGCTCATTTTCATTATACTTTAACGTTACTATTAGCATTCGATGTACTTTAACGTTACTATTAGCATTCGATGTATGGAAATCCGTGCATTTCCAAGTGGATTTGAGTATGTATTAATTAAACAGTTCTATTTGTACTGTGATTAACTCCATCGTAGACGCTAAAATATCTTTAAGCATTTGATTATTATAGTCGCACAATAAGTTGTCACAATGAGATACAGTAAACAATAAAATTATACTTTGTTATACATCTATCTCTTGACGTAATTAAGTTTTGGATACATAATTTGATCAGTTTACCAAATAACCTTCGAGTTTAAATAAAAAAGCCATTGCTCACGTGTAATATTTTATTTGAGTTTCGAAGTTAAGCTTAGATTGTATACAGCTGAAATGAGCAAATAAGAATAAGGAAAGGAGCAAGAGATTGAATCTCAGGACAATTTCTGTGGTAGT